GCATACTTCTGCACACCTCATTTTTCATTTTATTTAAAAAAATGTTTTGAATCATGTATAATTTTCTTTCCACTCCACAACAGTACACCACTTTGTGTTGGTCTTTCACATCAAATTCCAATGAAATATATTTATGTTTGTGTTCTGATGTGACTAAATATGGAAAAGTTCAAGAGGGTATGAATACTTCTGCACGCCACTGTGTATCTAGTTGTACCAATTGTACCTATATTACTTTCAGAGCAAGCAATAGTAAGCAATCACAGCAGCTGTCTATTTGCAGTTTAATATTTAAACACTAGAGGGCAAACTACGTTTCCAATTTATTGAAGAGAAAATGTGTAGGATTTTGTCTTGCTGTTTGAGGAATTAATAACAAAAATTGTTACAACTATAAAAATTAAATACAGTCTTCTGACCAGGGAACTGTTTGAATTAAATGTGACTGAATTATAAAACTCAGATTCCATTCTGACACTCAAGTTAAATACATTTACTATTAATTTAGATTTTAAAGTTCATTATAAGGTCACATTATTTAAGTCTTGTGCTGAACAATATGCTTAGAGAGTACTGGATTTATTTGTAAAATGTTTTTTTTATTTGGCTGTAAATTGTTATTTAATGTCCCAATAAAATTAATGTTTTTATACAAGCTTATTTGTTGTGTAAGAATTTAAATAAAAAACCGAATGCTACCAATTGCAAATCTCAAAAACACATTTTATTCACAATGGAACATAGTAAATACAATATCAAATGTTTAAACTTAGAAATGTAAAACATTTAGAGAGGTGTGTGTGTGTGTGTGGGAGGGTTGGGATTCAACAAGTTGTAAAAATATTACATATACATTTTTTTGGTTGTTTTATTTCCACCATTGTAAATTTCAACAGTTGTTGGCAAAATAACATTTACTTAAATTATCTTCTTGTTAATTGCCAGTAATGGTCTTAATGAGGTACTGAGTGTGGATTACTCATGAAGAATCAAATAACGAACCTAAACTGTGTTTCTATGGCTGAAACACAGAAAAAGTGCRAAAAAGTGAAGAAAGTGGGCTCCTTTAATCCTCCCTAAACTCACAAAGCTGCATATTTCCAATAACACTTATCTGGAAAAAACAAGAGATTGAAATGACATTTAAATATGAGCTGTATAATAAATTTATTGACTAAACTGAACAAACTCCCCTCGTCATTTTTAAACCTTCATATGGTAACCAGTGTTCTGATGTCTGAATGTTACTTTAACCACAGATTATTCCTATACAGCTAAAAAATACATGAAAATCAACAAGACAATAAAAAATGTAGAAAATGTGAACACTTTCCTTCAGTACTACTGACTGGTGTTAAAATGTCGATTTAATTAAACTCTCATCACATTTGTATTTCCATTTAACTGTAAATGTGTCACAAATAGAGGTGTACACATGTCCAAAATACAGAAACGAGAGGGACCTTATTAAAAAAAAAACTATTCAAAAACCTGAAATGAAGTTTGTGATAAAAACTTCTAGTTTGGATCTTTTCAGAYGGAGGTCTGCTCTACGGCAGCCTCCTCAGCCCCGTTCACACTCTGCTTCAACAACTTGGCTTCAAAGATGATTTGGTCGTTCACGCATGAACCAATCAAGCAGGTCGAGTCTCAAAATAATGTGAAACTACCATCAGTGAACCACCAGTCAGCGACACACTGTCACCTGAACTGCTACACACACACCTGCTGACTCCACTCTGTGACTACCTGGTTCAGAGGCGTTTCAGCCTTTACTCTGCCAGACAGGAAGCATCCCAGGCTCAGCTTCAAAGTGTGAAAGGGGCTTATGGGATTAAAAAAAAAAAGCTCTGTATGCAGCAGTGTCTTCTCACTGCTGTGGACCTCCATTACAATACGATGCACTTCCTCCTCCTGGGTTTTTTAAGAGGTTGGGGGCACAGGACCGCCCTGATGGCTTCATCAAACACCGTCTTAAGGCCGCGCTGCGTCAAAGCTGAGCACTCCAGATATTTCACTGCACCTGGAGACCAAGAATAAAGATGTTTAAAAAAACTTGTTAAAGTTGCAACTCATCCCATGAATCAGATTTTTTTGTTAACATTTTAGATGATAAACAAGCATTACTGTAAGTGACATCAGATATGTTAGGATTCCTCACATGTAGGAAAACAATCCCTTTCAGAAAAAGCTAGATTTTAATGGAATAATGTGAGCGGAGCTACAAATGACCTATTTCTTTCGCCATGGCCAAGCCCTGAGGATAAATGATGGGAGAAAGTTTTTTCTCTTTGAGCTTTTCGATGGTGTCCTTGTCGTCCCTCAAGTCCAGCTTTGTACCAACCAGGATTATAGGCGTCTTGGGACAGTGATGTCTCACCTCTGGATACCACTGCAGGAGGAGAACAAAATCGTTATATTCATATGGGCAGTCAATGAGTTTTAGTTTGTTTATTTTTGTGTTTATTTTGTTGTTTTATTTTTGATTTATACATTCGTTTTGGATTATTGTGGAATAATTTGGGAAACGTTTTCAAAAATGCCAATACGATTTATATATTTGCTAGATTGATAAAAAAGCTTTTGTTGTTAAGATTTTATTCTTCTTTCTGCTCCCTTTCATTTGACTATGTTGTGATTGTGTTTTTGACACAACAATATTATTTGTTTGTTTTTATTTTAATTTATTTGTTCTTTTATTATTTGTTTGTTGAATGAAATAAAGTTCTATCTATTTAGAAATTATTTTTTATTCTAAAAGGCAACTTGTGCTCTGTTACAGTTCAAAATTATTGGGAAACAGAAAAAGGACCAAATTATTCTGAAGGATTTGTGACTTGAAGCATTCAAATAAATTAGGTTGAACTCATTTTAGAAAAAAAAAAGATAAAATAGCTCAGTGACTACATTAAATGTGACCCATTTAGTGATCCCAGTAAATAACACTGCATGAAATCTTCATAATCTTCCTTTAAATAAAAGTCTCYTAACAGGTTTGTCTTCAAAAAATAATCCTTTTAATTCTTATCTTCTTATTGTCCCTTTGAAATTGACTCTTTTCCTCTACCAGTTGTAAAAATGCTGGGAGATTCTTTCATATGATGTTTGACGTTACTGTGAATCTTAGGGATTACCCTTTTGAATTACAGGACTGGAATTCCTGATGACATCACTCCAGACCAATTAAAAAAAGGGTTTTTAAACAGATACTCTCATAAACAAAACTAGCTTGCTGCCAGTCAGGTGATGAATCTCCAAATTTCTACAAACTACGTATCATTTTGAAGCTTTTAGAAAGTAAAAAGTATTTTCTGGATTCAGTCGGCTGCGAACACTAAACTGGCTCTCACCTTGGCACGAAGGTTTTCAAACGAAGCTGGACTGACGAGTGAAAAACAAATTAGGAACACGTCCTAAGAGAGGGGGGAAAAAAAAGAGACAAAAAATGTTCAATCTAAAACTTTTAAACACAATTTTTTGTATTTTTTGTTGACAATCAAAGCCATGTTGTTTAACTAAATTCTACAGAATATGAGACAAATATGGACTCATTCATTTGGTTAAAAACAGAGATTTGGTCTTTTAGCTCCCTGTGAGTCTCTCTAAGACAAAAGACAGACAGTTTTCCATAAGACTCCTGCAGACAGTGTGTGTGTACCATAGAGACAGAGCTCCACTCTGCTGAGTGACAGCTCAGAGAATAACTACAAGTCTGTGCTAACAAGCARAGAGTGTTCCTGCCATCACTGATCAATGCAGCACAGTGCAGAAAGCTGTTAGGACTGAAGGCTTCACTCTAAACCAGAGGAGCCCAAAGTGGGGCCCGCGGGCCAAATTTGGCCCGCCAAGCCATTTGATTTGGCCCACCAACAGTTGCCAAAGTTACAAGGTTGTAAGCTGTTATCCTATAGGTGGAAACACAGTGTTTCCATTGGTCAGATGACTATAAAGGGGGGCTGTAGTGAAGGTATTTTTCAGTCATGGTGCTTTATCTTTGATTTAATAGGGTTAAACATGAAACAAGAAATGACAAGAAATATTTAGATCAGATTTAACCCCACATGTAGAGTTGCACACTTTATAAGGCCACAAAAACTCATATTTTATCAATTTATGAAATGYCCCATGAGCCTTTGCTACTTGAGCGTATGGCAGACTTTCTCCAAGTGCACAGACTAAAACAAAAGAGGGCYATTGCATAGCTTAATCGTTTAAAATAAAGGACTTTACTTTAAAAAGTATTTGTATTTCATGTATTATATAACTGCATTTGGCCCGCAGCCGTGGATAGATTTTCATTTTGGCCCCCTCGGGGAAAATGTTTGGGCACCCCTGCTCTAAACGTACTGTCTGCGGGTAGGACAGGGGTCTTAGTCTGTCGTAGTCCTCCTGTCCCGCAGTGTCCCACAGACCCAGATTCACTGGTTTCCCATCCACCATCACGTTGGCAGAGTAGTTGTCGAAGCTGCGGGGAGGAAACACAATGAATATATTGAATTTCAGACAAACGTAGTTAATGTTTAGTGAACTCCTCAGACGTAGTTTCCTCTTTAATGTGAACATTATTGATCATTRGGAGGTATTCTGTGAGTCTTACACTGTGGGGATGTATTCTCCAGGGAAGGCATTGGTGGTGTAGCTGATGAGTAGACATGTTTTACCCACAGCCCTGASAGGAWAMATGACAGAACAATAAGACAATCGTTTGAAGTGCGCTTWTTCTGTCATCTGTTTCTTCCTGGTCAGAGTCACAAGAAGCTAGAGTCTGTCACACAAAGACAAACCATCCACACTCTCAGTTCACAACAATTAAAACACTCCAGACAAGTTGTGAATTTATGACTTTCTTGTTAAGTAGGACAAACCACTGCACCACCGTCTCACCTTTTAATGTGGTTGACTTAAATTACCTGATCWATCCTGGTACCTCACACTCAATGGAAGTGTAAAAGGACTGGTTTAAAAAAGTCCTTTACAATAAATATAAAAAGATAAACATCCTGTATTCTCAATTTTTATTTTATTATTTTTTTATTTTATGAATTTGTTTAACATTTATTATTAATTGTCTGTTTTTCCAAAAGCTTTATGTACGGATAGATTCATCTGTCAATCTGCTTTATTTGACACTGAATTACATTGACACAAAGTAGTTTTCTCAGTCACTTTAACAAACTTTCCTCCGTTCACACTGCTGTCTTTCAGTGTTTACTTCCCATTTAAGAGGCAGTCGTAGCTTTATTTTGACTCTGACAAAAGCCACATTCTGAACTTTTAGTTCATATTCTCATTCTGAAAATCAAACAACTTATTTCTCATGATCAGACTTTTTTTTACCAGTTTATTGCAGAAAGTTACTGAGGTAAATTGAGATTTGTTACTACGTAATAAACAATTTAAAAAAGAGAAATTATTAATGTACTTTAAGTTTTGCGAGTTTCTCATTCTGAAAATTCATCAAAGAACATTTGTTGAAAGTTTCATTTCAGTCTCTAAAAATGTGTAGAAATTGGTAACAAATAGGGTTGGGCAATATTGGCAAAAAAATTAATCACGATTAATTGTGGTATTTAGCCGATAACAATTAATTTGACGATTAATCCCCTGAGTCCCTGGACACCCTTATTTCGTAGTAACATGACCAATTTAGTGGGAAAGATCTGCTTTTTGTAAAAAAAAAAAAAATTGTTCCAAATTGTGTGAAAATTACAGATTTCAGGCTTTACATCATATTTTAAATTGTGTTGATAGATACATAAATTACAGAACTTTATTTTAATATTCGTCATATTTGAAGCGGAGAGGAGCAGCGAGCAGACTGACCGGAGTAATCCCTAGTTCAGTCTGCCTGTTGGCATTAATCATATTAATCGTCAAGTGTCAAAAAGTAATCGATTAATGTTTTTCTRACGATTAATTGCACACAATATGATTATGCCCAACCCTAATAACAAATGAAAACTTTTCACATCCTTGGGTAAAATCCAAGATATTAATCATCCCAAAATGTATCATTTAAAATCTCTATAGCTGTCCTAGTATTTTAAACCAGATGCATGATCTTGGATTAACTTTAAATCACTTTTTGTTAGAAAATTTTGCTAACAAACCTAATTGTAGGACTGAGAAAACAAAAGTATAAAATTGAAGTGCTCTGATCTTTTTTAATCACTTGCTACTCCAGAGTGGACAGAGGCCAGTTTTTGCACTAATACTGTATACTGTATGTTTTGTGGTAAATTCCAACATGGAGCTCGAAATAAATCAAAATGTATTAAATCTTTACGGGTTTAAATGAGCTGCAGCTTTCTCCTTATCAATGTGCAACACTTTTTTTTCTTCATTCATTTTATTTACCATGTAAATGGTAAAAAGAAAAAAATTGTACAGGTCTTCTGGACGGGTTCTTCTCTAATGAAAGGTTTCGTCTCTCCTCCAAGAGACTTCTTCAGTCTGAGAGTTTCAGGCAAAATTCAGGCTTTAAAGSMCTGGGCTTAAAAGCCTGAATTTTGCCTGAAACTCTCAGACTGAAGAAGTCTCTTGGAGGAGAGACGAAACGTTTCATTAGAGAAGAACCCGTCCAGAAGACCTATACAATTTTTTTCTTTTTGATTTTTTTACCTGGATTACTGAGATGCATCAGGACATGTAAATGGTACTGCATATAGTACACAATAACATTAACACAAATGGATAACACAATAAAGCACAAAGCTTATTTCCATTGTGGTCCACTTCACTATGACTAGTTTCAATAACTTARGAGGAGAGTTTAAACATAAACCTTCCAGGTTTTTCCGCAGGAACATGTCAGATAAATGTCCTGCTGGCTCTCGTCTTCAAACCGGAGTTAAACCTGTGACCCAGACTGGACCACAGCAGCTGTCGCTCTGTTTATCTCGGCTCATGAGCCGCTAGCCAACTGTTGCTAACTGGGTCAACCCAAACTACTGTGTTACATTTTGGTTGTTATAACACGGGTCAGACCGGTCACTTCTAAAAAGGTTAGAGAGAAAATAAAAATGTAAATTAACTTACCCGTCCCCCACAACCACGCACTTAATAGCCTGCATCGGACGGTTCAATATCTGGACCAAAAGATGCTAGCAGCGGCTAAAACCAACCTTCCTCTTCTGTTACCTGCCTCAAAGTACAGCAAACCTGACGGAACAAGGCTTAAGTTATCAAAGAAAGTTCTAAAAGACCGCTGCAGAAATTATACAACTTTTCTTCTTTCCAGAAGCAACGCCCAGTTTAAAATGACAGAGTTGTAAACCCAACGGGCAACACCCCGAGAAAAAGAACAACCTGGAGTCAAAACTGAGGGAAAAACACCCACAGTTTGGAGCCTGAGATCCGAGAGAGCTACYTCCGGTCAGCGCGTGACGGTCAGAGCTGCCATCTGCTGGTTGTCAGGTCCGCAAGAACACTGCTTTAGTTTTAGCTAAACTAAATGAACTGCAAAACTTGTTAAAGAGAGTGCAAAGTTATCAACAGACCCCACTTCTGAAAAAGTTGTGCAAAAATGTAAACAGAATTCAATGATGATAAACTCATTTATGAAAGACTCATTTAAAAAAAATTACCTCATTTACAGGAAAATGATCATTTTGAATTTGATGGCATCAACAGGTCTAAAAACGAGGGACACATCACCATGTTTAACCATTTTGAAGCATCCCTTGTTCTTTTGATGAAAACTGAAAATCCATCAATGTCTAGAAACTAAGGATTGCTGGAGTTTAGTCCCATTCTTACTGGATGTAGGATTTGAGATGTTCAACAGTCCTGTCTCTTTGTTTGTTTGTTTGTTTGTTTGTTTGTTTGTTTGTTTGTTTGTTTGTTTGTTTGTTTGTTTGTTTGTTTGTTTGTTTGTTTGTTTGTTTTTCATGAGAAATCTGGACTGTGGGTGGTCAAGGTCTTGGTCTGCCAGTCTGTGGATCCACACTGGTATTTCCTGTGTGCACACACAGGTATGATGACATGATCACTGTTAGCGATTTAAAACTCTTCAGGGATCATCTATCCTGATCCAAGACGCCAAGGATCAGGAAAAGATTTGATCTAAGGCCTGGTTAACAAATACTAGTTTATGAGAAGTCAAAACTCAAGGTCTTCTCCTGAAGAGAGACAAAACACATTCATTACAAAAAAAAACCACATATCTTATGAGAAGGATAACAACATGTGCATATTTATTATAGGCAATAACTGAGTTTTAATGTATGAAATAAAACACTACTGCTGATGGTTTTAATTTCAGCTCAAATCTGCCATGTWGACAACATGATAAACATTAAATGTATGTAGCTTTTAAACAAAAGTTTAAGCTTAGAGCTAATGACTAATTACTTTAGCCGAGGTCAAACCTCAAGGACTGGTGGGTAGAGAGAGTTTCTCCTTTCAGCTTTTATGCTGTGTCTTCATCAGCATTTAGATCCAAATTGGTCCCCACAAGGATTACAGGTACCATGGACCAGTGGTGTCTCAACTCTGGATATCTCTTCAGGAAGACTGCATCGTTATGCCAAGACTTTATATTTAAAATCCCACATATTTCTATTGTATTTTGCATTTTATGGAAAACTACGGAAGTGTAGAGCTGTCAAAAAGAAAAAAATTGTRTAGGTCTTCTGGACGGGTTCTTCTCTAATGAAACGTTTCGTCTCTCCTCCAAGAGACTTCTTCAGTCTGAGAGTTTCAGGCAAAATAAGTAGAGCTGTAACATGAATGAAATTATTTTTAAACTGGATCTCGTTATAACGAGAAAACTGTCTCGTTATAATGAGAAAACGATCTCATTATAACGAGAAAACTATCTTATAAAAACAAGAAAACTATCTTTTAAAAACGAGAAAACTATATTGTAAAAACGAGAAAACTATATTGTAAAAATGAGAAAACTATCTTGTTATATCAAGATAAACATCTCGTTATAGCGTGTTATGATTTCTTCTGGTTTATCACTTTCACGGAAGTTTATTGCCTGGATGGTGTGATGGAGAACATGACTGAACCACTAGATAAACAAAAATGAACAGAATTATGTGGGTTTGTACTCAGATGTTGCAGCTAGTAGCACTTAATAATATTCGCTCTCTAATCTGAATACAGACGCTATTATTTCAAAAAACATTATTCAGTACTAACTTGTCATTTTTCAGTCTAGAAATGTGTTCCTGTTTCAGATTTCTTCTTCGTAAAAAGGCAGATAGTGAGACTCAGTCAAGTTCTCCATCACGCCATCCAGGCAATAAACTTTTGTGAAAGTGACAAACCAGAAGAAATCATAACATGTTATAACAAGATAGTTTTCTCGTTTTTACGAGATAGTTTTCTCGTTATAACGAGATCCAGTTTAAAAATAATTTCATGTCATGTATCAGCTCTACGCTTCCGTAGTAAACAATTCTGAATGTGACAACATATTTTGAACATACATAATCTTATATAAAACACAATACAGACTCTTTACAGAAACACATTCAGAGTGATTCTGTTTTCCAGCTCTATGTGAGTCTCTGGCACTGAGAACAGATTGTTATGAAGATAAACAAGGCCAACAAGAGCAGCATTGTTCTTCTTTAAGGTTTATCCAGTGTATAAGTACCATGCAAGGCCCTGCTCTGCTGAAAGCAACACTGTGTGAAAGAAGTCCAGAGAACTCCAAGTCAAACTGAAGCCAGTGTTCCTGATACTACAGACTGGACCGCACCTGAATGATGCAAGACAATGGAAAGGAAAGAGATATATCTACTCTTAACAGAGTGGGTAACACCGAGGTCTGAGTCTGGGGTAGTCCTGATGAGCCTCACGGACTCAGTTTCTCTGGTTCCACATCCACTGAAACTTTGAAAGCATCTTTGTCAAAGTTGCGAGAGTGGGGATGGGTGTGTGTGAAAATTAGTTGGTTTATTTGCTTTATATTAACACAGTGGAAATATGAAGTCGAGTCAGTGATGACATCATGTCTTCAGACTGCTATAATGTTGATGTTATGATTTTAATGTTTTAATATGTATTTTATTTTGTGTTCTGTACAGAACTTTGGATCCATTGTGGTTGTTTGAAAGTGCTTAAGTAACTTTCTTAGTCAACGTTGACATGTTTATTGTTAGCAGATAAAATAAAACATTAAAAACRTAGACCCTTGAATAATGATCTTGTTGAAGCTAATATTGTATGTTGTTGTAGTTCAGAATTTGAACACGAGATGGCAGTATGGTACACACTGACTACATTCAAAAGGAAAATGATGCAGTATTTATTATTATTATTATTTTATTATTATTTTGATTCCTCTCGGCTTGATCTTCAATAAAAACTAATATTACTCCACCGGTGTCTTGATTTTATGACCCCTTTTAATGTTTTCATCACTTTCCTTACAGGATTTTGTTTTTTCTGTCAAATAATTAACAGCTACATGCCAACTAAGTCTATACACTGCTATAATCATCCTCAAATCTGGATTAGATTAATTTTTACATTAAAAATAYCACTAATAGAGTAAGCTTCATCATTAAATGGGGAGTAAAAGCTGGGAGAGAGAGAGATTAATGAAGGATGAGCAGATCCCCAGCAGGGAGGCTGTAAAACACAGCAGAGGGATGATGTCTGAGAAGACATTTCAGCTCAAACAAACCCTAAATACAAAAACTGGATTTTTGACTTCTTAATTAGTAGCAACATGTGCTGAATTTAACATTAGTTGYCCAGAATATTTCTGTTCTGATGAAGAACTGCACACAGGCATGGTTTAATTCCAGATGAACTGATCTTTGGAGTGTTGTTATTGTGAATAAAAAGTTATTTTTGCTTAAAGTGATGGTTCAGACCTTGTGAAGTACGGTTCTATGGAAAGGTTATCTGCAATTAATGTATTTTTATGTCACTTCAAATAAACTGAAAAGTCCCCCGGCTTTATGACGAGTTGCAACCTGGTCATAGATTTTATTTGATGAATTCTTGTCCAGCTGTTTGAGTCTGTCACCTTTGTTTTTTTTTTCCCCTTCAGGCATTTGTTTGATGAGGAAAAAAATGTCAGACTTCTAGCAGCAGATCAAGACACCTGATTTATTATGTCTGACATCTTTATTGTGTCAGTGTTCATACTGGTTTTATTTTCTGTCTATATAGGAAATAAGAACAAAACTTTATGGTTTTTGTTGCCTTTGGAAGATTGATTTAAACAAGCTGCACAAGAAGAGTTTTCACCAGCTCAGAGCTGGCGTCAAAGTTAAATTATTACTGCGCCCTCCCGCCACCATGAATCCATAAACATCTTCCCACAAACAGCAGTTCAGAGACACGTTTAGTCAGATCATTACATCCCATCATTTGTTCTGTAATAAGAGCTGAAGTTTAATGACCCTCACCATGGAGGTTTGCAGATGAGTCAGACTGACAGGCTGCAGCCAGGCACCGGCTCAGTGTTTCCTAACCAGAAACACAACAGGTTTCATGAATTATATCATTTGGAGAAAGTCAGTGTTTTAAACTGAGTAAAGTCTAAATGAGCACATTGAAGCAACAAGCTGAACCCACTGATGCTTTGGCATTTGTTGTGCTGTCATCTCTCCACATCAGTGTCGGCCTACATGCTGCAGAGAACATGAATGATTCAGAAGCTCAGGATGTGACAAATGATGGACTCTACAAGAAATCATCTGTTAAAGTGAATCCATTTTTATTGCCTGTCATTGCAATGCAGGGGGGAAACATTTTTGCCTGTGTCTGTTAGCAAAATATYTCATCAACCACTGGCGATATTTAAATGAAACTCTCAGAACATAATCACTGGATATACAYCTACTACTGATTTGATTAAAGATGGCGGCCACAGCCACCTGATTGTGTAAAACACAAAAAATGACTACTGCTGTATCAGTTATATAGATGTTGAACTAAAATGTGATGTGACAGTACCTGAGAGGCATCCTTAAAGGGATCCCTGATTAGTTGTAACATTAGACTTTATTTGATAAACATATATTTTAACTGTAAAATAAAGACTGTAAAAATATTGTAGGCTGTTTAGTTTATATAATTTTTAAAAATATATTTTAAAACGGACAGAGCCATTTTATTTACACACAAAGCATTCTGGGTAAATGATGACGTGGATAGGTCCTCGGTGTGAGTGAGCTATATCCACCCTGAAGATTAATCTTGGACAATATCTGATGATCGACTCTTTTAAATGAAACCAGAGAGCGTTGACAGAGAGGAGAAGGTAGAAATGACTCAGCCTGTAACTGAAAATATGGATGGAGGACAACAGAGCTGCTTCATGGAAGAAGAACCTCAGCTTAGCATGTTAGTCTTTGTGCTAATGCTGATGCTATATTGCCTTATATGTATTAGCTCGGCGCTAGCGCAACAAACAAGCTAAACTG